TTTCAAAATTTATTCGAAGAAATTTAGAAAATTTGAAGTTTATTTAAAATATTTTGAAAGAAACTTTTACTTACTTTCTTCGTAGAAAAATGTTTTTTAAGATAAAAGAGAGCCGATCTCAACATCGCCGGAATTGACAAGTGATGAGTGATGCCGTCTATAAATTATTGACATGACTTTACTAAAAATAAAATATATTTATAATAAGTTCCATCATTTGTGAATAGTTTCTGAAAGTTTCGCTAAAATCCGACAATTATTTTTATTTTTGCAAGATTTTCCAAATTAATGTGTGTCATACAGGAAAAAAAACGCGCTAAAATTATTTTATTGGTTCGGTTGATACAAAGAGAAACAAGGTTTTTTTTAATCAAAATTTAAAATGTTCTAAAAAGAAGGAAAATTTTTTAAAAATAATTAAAAAATACTTTGATCTTTCCTCTCAATAATAACATACGCATTTAGACGCTAAAATTTTGTTTTCATCAACTGTGGCGTCTTTTTTATCATGCTATGCTCTGTTTTTAGCGATCTCATGAAAGTACCTATGCAAATGGGAACGCGAAGCTTTTCTTAAAGCCTACACGTGCGTACTCTTGTCATTACATATTAAAAATATTATTGTATTTTTTCCCACATCTTAGAAATATACAGATTACGCATAAAAATTAGTGCATTTCATTTTATGGATAGAAATGCCACAGAGAAGAATATTAAATTAACTTTAAAAAAATGTTAAATAAACTTCCAGGTATCAGTCGTGTTTTGATTTGACCAAAGTGCTATTTTTATGTAACGTGTGCCTTTACGACTTATGTGATCATGGATTTCCATAACTCCGTATAATTTGTCGTCTTTAGCAATGTCTATTACTTTACTAAACCTCCCAGCTCCTGTTCTGCAATCCATTTAAACATGCACATTAGGTAGATTACCTGATGTTACCCTTTGATGTTTTTGCCTTGAACATGTCACGAGTGTATCAAAATCTCTTAGCCTTCTTTCTGCCCCCAAATTTTCAAAATGTCTCTTTCTGATTCTAAGAAGTGATCTTTTTTCTGTCCATTTCAAAGATCAGTTCATTCAATCCATCCATTTACTTGTAAAATCCGCTTTAAAAACCAGTTTAAAAAATGAATTACTATGATTTGAAGCCCTAAAAAGCAGACGATCTCGTCTCATAATTAAATTTACTGCGGCTATATTTGATTTCTCTCTCTTTTTCTTTTCGTCTTTTTCCTCAAATGTTACATCTTTTTCTTTACTTTTTTCTTTTTACTCAACCGAATCCTTGTTTTTCAAATGCAGCCAAGAAAGTGACAATGGTAGGCTGCTTCCATTACTTAAAATTTCTTCTCTGATCTGAAGTAATTAAAGTATCGAGTGGGTTGTAATTTTTTTTCGATAGAGCATAGAAGTCTATGTAATTATGCAGACGTTCGACCGGGACATAAAAGGTTTCACTTTTACAAGGTCACGAGTGTACTCAGGAAAAAGATGCTTAACAGAAGCAAAAAAAAAGAAAAAAAAAAAGCAGTCATCAAGAAACATCTTGAGAATCTTTTAAAGGTCTGTACCATTTGATAGAAAAAAGAAACAGTGCTCTTTTGTCTTTCTGGTTTGTTTATTTCAAGTTTTTCTTTTAACGATATGATATACAACCTCCGCAGAGCCTTAATTGTGCTAACTGAGGTCCGACCAGCATAGTTGCCGTATATGTTGATCGGACCTCAGTTACAGTTGAAATATGTCCTCCACTAGGGTTACACACAGTTTTGAATTCACTATTGTCCTTCTATAAGGTTCGGCTCCCTGATATTTAACACATAGGTGGAGGAAGAAAATGTCCATTTATATCTCTCCCCACAAAATTCTTCTGATCTGAAGTAATTAAAGTATCGAGTAAATTGCAAATTTTTTTTCTATAGCACATACAAGTTTACAGGATGCGCTGGGTAAATTTTCGCCATTTTATATTTTTAATTCCGCGCATGCGTGGTGTTTGTTATTGGTTTTGTCGACTGCACTGTATAGTAGGGTCATTTGGGCACCCTCTGTGAGAGAAAGTGCACCATGACGCAGTTCACTCCGCCAAAAATTTGGAAACGGCATGTTGAACTGCTTTGAATTCGCGCCGAAAGTTCAAATGCGAACATTTCAGAGTGTTTGGGTGTCCTCAGACTCAACATGGAGGTCTACATTATGTGCCGTGAGGAGGTAGTGCTGCTCTGGGTCAAGATGGTGGCTGCTGGAAGACCCTATATCTGGCAACAGGACGCTACATCATGCGACACAAGCAGGAGAATCAGTCATGGCTGTCAGACAATTTCTGCAACCAGATCACTCCTTACATTTGGCCACCTAACTCCCCAGACTGTAATCCCCTTGATTATTATGTGTGAGGTGCAGTTGAGTGAGAGACCAACAAAACTCCTTGAAACGCCAAAGATGATCTGAAGGCAAGGATTATAGCAGCCTTCCTAACCTGAAACAAAGGGGGAGCCCAGAAGATTTGCAGAATATTCCGAAGTCGTCTGGAGGCCTTGATTGAAGCCAATAGCGAATTTATTGAATAAATCTACTCTTTAGTATTTCAATATATTTTTGTGTAATTTTGGTAAATATATATTTTAGAATGTGATTTCAGTGCTATTTTCAATTTAGACGACAATTTATCTATCGCATTTTGAAATGTAGCTATGTCGACGTTCGTCTAGGGCGTAAAAGGGTTTCACCATTACAAGGTCACTAAAAAAAAAAAAAAAAAAAAGCAGCCATGAAGACGCACCTTCAGAGTGTGTGAAAGGTCTGTGCCAGTTGATGGAAGAAAAACCAAAACGTGTTCTTTTGTCTTTCCGGTAACTCTAAACACAGTCAACATCTGCGAATAAAGCACGCTATAAAAGCTGCTACGTATCGAGTTCTTTGATTGCGACCGTGAATATCATGACAGATGTTTCGACTTGAAGGCACAATGAAAAATCATTGTCAGCGGACCTTAGTTACAGTACAAATGCGTGTCCCCCCCTCTAGAGCCACACACGGTTTTAAATTCAGGATTTTTATTTTTATATACGATTCGGTGAGAGAGTCTCTTCCCCTTGTTATTTAACAGAGCATGTCCGTCTCCTCAGAACCATTTGTGTTTGTCAAAGATCGATAGAGCCAACCTGCGGTTTATACTGTAACTATGCTGAGCAGACCTTAGTTACAGTTCAAATACATGTACAGCCATTGCCATACAAAGTTTTTGAATTTAGAGTTATACTTGACTGGTTGCCAAAAATGACTATTTATCCCATACCTGGGTATGGAAAAAAGACGAATTCCTACCTTTTTGAAAGGTATTTGTGTAAAAGTTAATATAATGAGCTTGAATGGAATTCGAACTCAACTCACTGATTTCTCGTCCCGGTCCACTATGATATTTCGTTTTAGCTAACTTGACGGACGCAAAGTAAAGGCCAGTTTCGCATTATAATCACAATGTAACTCCAACCACCGCTCAAATGTTTAACTCAATCGGCCGATTGAGCTACGGTTGCACTGAGTTATTTAAACACAACAATCGTTTCTTTACGTTTGGGGTCTTCAGGTTGAATTTCCAAAGTTTATTTGTTTGACTCATAATCTTCTCTGATCTACAAATCGATATATTATGATTATAGCGGGTAAGCGAATCGTAAAATGGAAGATTTAACTTCGACAGAAGGTAGTGAAGGAAAGCGAGAAAAAGGACTAAACGCCAGTTGTAAGAAGACAGGACGTATGTCTGTGAGGAAATGGATTGAAAAACATGCGAATTACATTTAGATTACACCAAAATAAAGCAGGTAAAGAAATTTAAAAAATTGGGAAGTGTTTTAACAGATGACGACACTGAAATCCGAAGGCGCATTGGGATAGCGAAAGATGCCTTCCAGAAGCTAAGAAAAGTATAAAGGACAGCAAAATTTCATTCGAGAAAGAGTAATGGACTGCTATATAATATCGGTTTATATATGGCAGTGAATACTGAAAAATCTCTTCAAGAGAAGAAGAAGAGACTTGAGGCAACAGAAATGTGGTTCTATTGGTGACTGTCCTTAGAAACAAAGAAAAGGAGTGTTGGACTGCTATGTAATATTTAATCTCCTCTATGCCAATTAATACTGGACACTATCATTACAGATGAAGATGAGAATTGAGGCAATGGAAATGTGGTTCTATTGACGAATGTGCTTGGAAACAAGAAAAGGAGTGTTGGACTGCTATGTAATATCTAATCTCCTCTATGGCATTGAATACTGAACAATCTCTTCACAGAAGAGAGATGAAGTGACAGAAATGTTATTCTCGTGATGAAGGTCCTTAGAACAACAAAAAAAGAAGACTAGACTGCTATGTATTATCTAATATTTAATCTATGCAGCAGTGTATCAAGAAACAGAAAATTTTTGCTAGAAAGAAAGAAAATAATACTGAACTGTATGTTAATGAATGCTGGACAATCTTCTCACAGATGAAGAAACTTGAGGCAACAAAAATGTTTTTTCTAACAATGTTTTTTGCTGACAATACGATGGACTGAAAATGTAAGCAATATCAAATTTCTAGAGACAATGAAAACAAAAGGGACGATTAGCCTCGGAATTAATCGAAATTTATAGGATAAAGAAGACGGTTTAGAAAATATGACACTCGCAAGACATATTGAGGGAAAAATGAATGGAGGAAAGCTGCGTTGGCAGGACAGGGGTCAGGAGAGAGAGAGCAAAAAGTCAAACTTTACTAAGAGCTACAAAAGAATGGGAAAGTTGTAGAGAGCCATGATTGCCCTCGTCCAGAAGGGTCACGGCACGTGGAAGAAGAAGAAAAAGAAAATAATAATAATAAAGATAATAAGATGTACAAGAAGAAGAAGAAGAAGAAGAAGAAGAAGAAGAAGAGTCTGTCAGTGTTTCGGAATCTCTCAGCAAGAATTTGTTTTAAACTTTCCCGAAAGAGTCCTTGTGGCTTATGGCCGCATCATGTTGAAACATCGATTCCTATACGATCAACGACGTTAAGAAACGTCGAGCCTGGTTAGTACCTACATGGGTAACCGCTTCGGAATACCCGGTGCTGTAAGTTTGGCTGTGCGGGTGATGTAATGGATAATGGCGCTCGAAATTGTTAATCGGAGAGCCGAGTTCCAATTCTAGTTGGGTTCGCTATATTCACTTAAATAAGTAAATAGACCCCGGGAAAGGTATGTATCCAGATTATGTGTTCCGTCATCGCTAATAATGATGATTGCCATCTTGGCAAATACGAAGAACTCGAGCTGTTAGATTTGAAAAGAGCTGACTTCTGTTTCCAAATCTGTGACATTGCTCTTTAATCAGACAAACACTTAAATATCAACGATTATTTCGAAGAATTCGATAATGAAAATTATTGGGAACGAAAACAGTGGAAACCGGAAATATACAACAAAGACTGAAACAAATATATCAAATTCGGGCCATTTCGGAGGGATGTCTTTGTTCAAACCTACACACACACACAAACACACCCTATATATATATATATATATATATATATATATATATATATATATATATATATATATATATATCACTGTAAGAGACTGAATTCTGAAGATCTTGGATGACAGCCAATTTTTTTTTCTTTAACAAAGCTATATTTTCCCCTTTTTTATGACGTTTTAGTTGCAAAACTTTCGTTTTCAAATTTGCCAAATCCACAGAGGCAAGATTTTCGCATTGATTTTTTTTCCTAGAAAGAAGGCGAAATTTATGTCCTCGTTCTTAACAGCTTGCATTCCAAAAATCTTCGTCTGCTGTCTGCCGCATTCCCCCACGACGTTGACGAACATGGTTCTCCACAGCCGCCAATCCCAATGCTTGTCCCTTTACCAAGACTCTTACTCTCTGTTCCGCCATTCATTCACCCAAGGCCGTCAGGTAGGTGGCCGGCTGACTTCCACTGTGCCTTATTTTTCCATCAATCTCTCCTATGAGTGTCAAATTCTCCGAGTCCTCCATCCTCATTATGTGTCTAAGAAACCTGAGCTGCCTTTTTCTGATTCTATGTATAGGCTCCGTTTTGATTCCATTTTACCTAAAACTTCGTCGTTGTTCACACTTTCCGTCTATCGTATTCTGCAGAACCACATTTCTCAGTATCCTTCTGTAGAACCACATTTCTGTTGCCGCCAGTTTTCTCTTCCTCTTCAGCATTCATTGCCGTAAACTAGGATTACATAACAGCATTCTTTTACTTGTTTCTAATGATTTTTTTCTCTTTCGTAGTTTTTTGCTTAGCTTTTTAAAGGCTTCTTTCGCTATCTCAGTGTGCGTTCGTATTTCAGTGTCGCAATTTCCGCCCTCTGTTTTTCTTCCTACAAAAAAAAATATCAACTCTGGCAGAATATATATATTATACCAGAGTTCATATATATATATACATATATTATGAAATGGACAAAGTCCGACTATCATTTTAAGACATTTATATGTTTATACGTTCTTTTTATAGATACAAATATTTAAGTAAATTCTCTGTTTTATAATAAACAGTATTAATAACATTTATCGGCCTGAATGTCCGAAAGATTTTCATAGAAAATATTCGTTCTCCGACAGGAAACGAACCTGTATTCTATACTGAACCATCATTTAGCGTGACGTGCCTTAACCGATCGAGCCACGGAGAATCGTTCGGTTAGCGCGGTTGTTAATAATGTTTCCTTTTATCGTTCTCCCTGTTTTCTTTGTTAATAATGTTTTCGTTTAACGTTCTCCGTGTTTTCTTTGTTAATAATTGTTATAGAGTGGTTTCACAGTGGAGGCTTGTATTTGTACTAAGTCGGTCCTAAAGTAGGTTCGACGTAAAAAAACGTTAGGAACTTGATATAATAGGTAATGACGCAGAGAAATCTAATTGTGGTCGCTGATAGTCCGGCATCGACTGACTGACCGACCCACTGAGCGACTCCTTACTCTTCCTATTCCTAATTATTATAGGTGGGAGAGTCTATTAACGATAGAATAGGTGTGTTCCACTATAACAATAATGTTTTCTTTGTTAATAATGTTTTCTTTTATTGTTCTCCATATTTTCTTTGTTAATAATGTTTTCTTTTATCTTTCTCCCTCTTTTCTTTGTTAATAATGTTTTCCTTTAATGTTTTCCCTGTTTTCGTTGTCAATAATATTTTATTTTATTGTTCTCCCTGCTTAATAATGTTTTTGTTTTTCTTATATTCTTTCGCGCTTAGTAACTCCATGCGTCTTATAGTTTCTTTTTTTACTTTGGGGTGAAAGGAATTTTAAAAAAAGACTGCAAGTAAAAGAAATTTGTTGACCATATTGTACTGAATCGTCCATTCTTTGGTAGCACTTTACTTTGAAGGTATGTCTCCAGCATAGACATATTCTTGCATGAAATCTTAACGACACTCCTGAATTCATTTTACTCTGTATATATATATTTATTTTCCCTTGGTCATTAGTCGCTGTTGGGAGAGATCAAACATTCTTATGAAACCATCCACTGATGATGTCCATTCTCATTGTTTGTCGAAACAGTCTCACACCTGCGCCGTGAATTAAATGAAAGCTTTTCTTAAAAAGAAGTCAATGATATTAAATTGAAGTGTTTTTCTCAGCATGTGAGCAGTCGTCATTAAGAAAATCTTTTGTATTTCGGATAAATATGAATTTCCTAGGAATTTCTGTCAGAACGGAGAATTGTATCTGACATGTGTGCCTGAAATTAGTTGCAGTCCATATCTTAATTAGCTTCTTTACCAAGCCTTTCACATAAATTTGAAATCGAAACTAAAATAAGGCAGAATAAGGCAGAAATAAGGCAGAAACTAATAGCATAGAACTTACGGTTACATCTAGCCATTTCAACTACATAAGGACGTAATCTTGCCGCGCCTGTTTAGTCAGTCAGCCATGTGCCATGCTTGATGCACGCTTAGGCGATCATGTATCATTCGATACATGACTGACGAGGCAGATTTTCCCCGCAATAGGTTGCCATTTCTTTCTGTGGTAGAAGATATAAAAACCGGTATGTCCTGGTATTTACCCATAGCTGGGGGTGTAGAATAACAATACAATAAACAGCATTTACCGGCGTAAGAGTCCCAGCTAGCGTCCAGCTGGCAGACAAAAATAAAACAGGTTGTAACTCAATACATACCCTGCAAACCAACTGATGAAACAAGCCGGTATTTATACAGCCAATCACAGCCCAAGCAATGGACTATCCCAGTTTAGCACAATGAGATGCTCCATGGCACCATAAATAGCTCTCTTTCTCAAGGTCGATGTATTATTTATTCAGCTTGCTCCGTAACTGAGTGTTTGTCTTGACCGCGTGATTGTTCTACAGGGGCGGTGAGAAGAAGAAAATCCATACCTTTCCTAAGGGTATTAACACAGAAATGAATGTAAGAGTCGACTGGACTTCGAACTCAGCTTTCTGATTCCTCAATCCATTACTGCGTTTTACTTCATAAAAACTCGGTACAATAGCAAAGAAACCTTTAGCATAGAACTTACAGTTACATCTAGCCATATGAACTATAAAATAATGAGATCCTACCACCAACCTAATCAGTCGGTTATGTGCCATGCGTGGTACACGCCTAGGCAATCATGTATCTTTCGACACATGACTGATGAGGTAGATATCTTCTCGCAGTAGGTCGCCATTTCTTTCTGCTGTAGATTAGATGCCAACCAACCCGGTCTGTCCTGCTATTTACTCATAGCTTTTGAAAAGGAGGATTCATACCTGTCTCATGGATATTAGCAAGTAAGTGAATGTAATGGATTCGACTGGAATTCGAACTCGGCTCTTCGATTCCTCAATCCGAGCCGCTACCCATCACTCCACCGTGCCTTCTAGTACTTCGCTTAAATACATAAAGTCTAGCTACCACAGCACTTACCGGCGTAAGGTTCCCAGCTAGCGTCCAGCTGGCAGACAAAAATAAAGCAGGTTGTAACTCAATACAAACCCTGCAAACCCTCTGATGAATCAAGCTGGTATTTATACAGCCAATCACAGCCCAAGCAATGGACTATCCCACTTTAACACAATGAGATGCTCCATGGCACCATAAATAGCTCGAGGTTGAGTTATTATTCACTCAGCTTGCTCCACAACTGAGTGTTTGTCTTGACCGCGTGATTGTTCTACAGGGGCGGTGAGAAGAAGAGAATCCATACTAAACGTTGTGATAAATTTATTAGAACAATTACCATGGAAATACTTATAGAAAAGGCACAGGGTAGAAATATTAAGAAGCTAAAAAAGTGAAAGTGTCGAAATTTCAGGTCTGTGGACGAAACGTGTCGGCAAAGATAAGTTTTCCGTATGTCTTTATTCATTTCTTTACAAGTTATTGAACATAAAGGATTGAATGAGATTTTCTATACAGGTGAGCGGTATTCATTAACACAACTATAGTTGTTTTTGATATTATTAGGGCCGCCAAGACAAATTCTGCAAGGCAGTACAAGACCACTTTGGGGCCCTGAGGCAGGCAAAAATGTTTCTTAAAATTGGGGATTTGATATCCAGGAAATCTGCATGTAAACGTTCTTAAATATTTTATTTCCATGATCATTTATGACATAATGTATCAACATATTCATTTAAACCAGCAACCTAAATTGTTATTTACGGTTGCATTCACCAATCGACTGTTAGACTGCGTCATAGTGAAATGCTTTTAAAACGTTCGTAATAATTTCTTTCAAAGAAAATATTTTTCTTGAAAAAAAAATTAACATTTAACTAGACTACTAGTTAAAATGTCCTTTTCTGGCTTTTTGTTTGCAAGCTCTAATAACACCATCAAAATCAATTTGTCTGGCAATGCCAGATTCATTTGAGTAATGAATCTGCCATTGCCAGATTGCAGACGTGCGAGATCAACAAGTTTGGTTAGAGACATAGTAGACTTCAATGGCACAGTGGATAAAGGCGTTGGTTAGATCCAGTGACGGGACCCAAAAGAGTGTGAGTTCAATATCTGTTTAAGGCGGTGAAGAACTTAGAGAGGTGAATTAACAGGAGATAACTGATAACTAACATCCATT